TTCAAATATAATACTTATCCAAATAAATAATAAAAACACTCATACCCAATGCACAGCTCTAGTCTAAAATCCCGTGACTGCCGGCGCGGGTCGGATTTCTCTCCCACTTAACCGACGTCGTTCCCATTTTCTTCTATTTTATGGTGAGACGTCCAGTTTTCGTTTTTGTTTTCTCTATTTTGCTGTAAGTAATGATAGGGAATGTAGAAACTCTATAATAAAAATTTAAAATTAATGAAATAGTATAAATTATATTCCTAAATTTAATTTATGTATATAATATTATAAATTTTTTTAAAAATAAAATAAATTAATAGTAAATAATATAAAATTCATTTATTAATATTTTAAATAACATAATTTATACTACATCGTTAGACTCAAATTTTAATTTTAAATTTAATCTTAGTTATCATTATTCTTAACTCTATCTTTTCATATTGGTTAAATACCCTTTTTGATCTATCTACTATAAGAAAAAACTCCTTTTTAGTCTTTATACCGAAAAAATTCATTTTTTGATCCTTACTGTTTAAAATCCGATCCCTTTTTAGTCATTTTGTTAGTTAAGTGACAACATGACACAATAATCCATTAAATGTCTTTTTTTTTAATGATGACATATGATTACACGTTGCAAAATTGATGAGTTGGCAATCAAATTTATTTTTCATGTAATCAATAGCTCTTAAAATAATTAAAAGACAAAAATCATTGTTTCCCTTTATCTTTTCATTTCCCATTTCTCTCCTCATCTTCTTCCTAAGCCCAAATTCCCGATCCTCTCTACCTTTGCCTTAACTTAATCCCCCTCTCATCCATTGATTTCTTCTTCTTTGCCAAACCTTCCTTCATCAAAGCCCTCAAATCTTCACACCAATTTTCATCTCAATTAAAGCTCAAATCTTCACTAATTTGCCCCCATTTTCTTCCCCCTTCTGTCTTATCCTCTCATTTCCCTCGATTATCATCTCTTTTTTTTAGACCTTTGCTGGGTTCGTCACGAACCCAGGCGTGACTTGGGTCCATCGCGCCCGAGTTCATCTTGGGTTCGTGATGAACCCAGAGCATGCTTGGGTGGGTTCGTCCTGGGTTCTTCGCAAACCCAAGATGAACCCAGCTCACGAGGCTGGGTTGGCAACGAACCCAGCTTGCGCCTGGGTTCGTCACAAACCCAAGCGTGAGTTGGGTTCTCAATCTCTACAAAAAAAAAAACAAAAAAAGCATGTTCTTCTCAACTCCACATCGAATTCGATGAGTTGCAATGGGCGTAGAGTTTTGCGAAAGGGATGCAGTGAGTCCTGTATTCTGCGTCCCTGTCTTTAGTGGATCGACAACGCTGAGGCCTAAGGCCACGCCACCATTTTCGTCGCCAAGTTTTTTGGTCGCTCTGGCCTCATCTCCTTCCTTTCCACCATTTCAGAATCTCAGCGTCCTGGTGTGTCCTTTTTTATTTGTTTATTTATTTTCTCACATTTCTCGGATTGGATTTGGATTTTTCAATTTTGTGCTCAATTGCTTGTGTTGTGTGTTGTGTTGTGTTTGTGTTTCAGCGTTGTTTCAATCCTTGTTGTTTGAAGCATGCGGAAGGACAGTGAATCCGATGAACGGCGCGGTAGGGCTGTTGTTGACGGGGAACTGGCATGTGTGCTAGGTGGCGGTGGAGACCATTCTCCTTGGTGGAACTTTCTGGCCATTGCCGGAGTTGACGGTTTCTCCACTAGCATCCAATGAAACTTCAGAAGCAACTTGGACAGATACTCGAAAGCTCCAAGAAATAATGAATCTGAACTTGAACTTCAGATTTACAAATTTGAGATCCAAGGTCTCGCCAAAGCAAAAGATGGAGGAGGAATTTAAGAAACCACTTCCATCCGATCTGGATCTCTGCTTGACCCCTACCTTCATAGCCAAGGAAGTGACGGACGGCAGGCATCCGGACACTCCATCCGGTGTTACAGCCTGCTTGGACAGTGGGTTCGGAGCAAAGTTGAAAGGAGGATTTTATGTTGACCCTGAAGCCAAGCTTTTGTTTCTGGAGTTGTTTGTTTGAGAAGAACATGCTTTTTTTTTTTTTGATAGAGATTGAGAACCTAGCTCGCACTTGGGTTTGTGACGAACCCAGGCGCAAGCTGGGTTCGTTGCCAACCCAGTCTCACGAGCTGGGTTCATCCTGGGTCACGAAGAACCTAGGACGAACCCACCCAGGCGTACTTTGGGTTCGTTGCGAACCCAAGATGAACTCAGGCGTAATGAACCCAAGTCACGCTTGGGTTCGTGACGAACCCAGCAAAGGTCTAAAAAAAAAAGAGAGATGATAATAGAGGGGAAGGAGAGGATAAGACAGAAGGGGGAAGAAAATGGGGGCAAATTAGTGAAGATTTGAGCTTTAATTGAGATGAAGATTGGTGTGAAGATTTGAGGGCTTTGATGGAGGAAGGTTTGATGAAGAAGAAGAAATCAATGGATGAGGGGGGGATTAAGTTCAGGCAAAGGTAGAGAGGATCGGGGATTTGGGCTTAGGAAGAAGATGAGGATAGAAATGGGAAGTGAAAAGATAAAGGGAAACAATGATTTTTTTCTTTTAATTATTTTAGGAGCTATTGATTACATGGAAAATAAATTTGATTGGCAACTCATCAATTTTGCAACGTGTAATCATATGTCACCATTAAAAAGAAAAAAAAAAGGACATTTAACAAATTATTGTGTCATGCTATCATTTAATTGACAGAAGAATTAAAAAGGAGTCGGATTTCAAACAGTAAGGATAAAAAAGGGGATTTTTTCGGTATAGGGACTAAAAAGAGGCTTTTTCCTATAGTAGGGGGACCAAAAAGGGTATTTAACCTTTCATATTTTGTTTTAACAATACTTGAATGTCATTTCATATTTGTTATTATTTATACCAACAATTGTATAGTTACAATGAGTAAACATTAAAATTATAAATTTTTAATTATAATGTGTATCATTTGAGATTAAACATATTCATTTCATTTATTTTTAATGAATTTAGTGTTGACTCAATGCACTCCAAAACGGGGGGTGAATTGGAGTTGGAGAATTTTCATTTCTTTGCAACCACCAAACAAAAATTAAAGAGAGAGTGGAGAAGAAAAGCTTGCATAATGATTTTATAGAGATTCGGTCAACCACTTGGATCCTAGTCCTCTACCTTGGCTTCACTCACCAAGGATTTCTTGCACACTTTCCACTAACAAAAACAATGGTGGCTTAAAGGAGCTGCTCAATCCTTTATAAGAAGAATGGTGTTTTTCTAAAATCTCACCCCTTTACACTTAAATCCCAAATATCCTTTCTACAGATCACTCTTGAAGGAATCAACACACCCCCAAGATCACTCACTAATAGCACAAGAAGAGGATTACAAACAAAGATCTCTCAAAGATCAAAATCTCAAGTTAAAGCTCATGTAGGTAGGTAAAGATATTCAATACAATGCTCTCTTAACCTCTTTCAGATCTTCTACCAACCATATTTATAACCACATGGTCGAAAATAGCCGTTACTAGCCATTGAGGATCATTTAATGCTCTGCAGAACGCAAAGCTCGAGTTGCAGGATTGTCAAGAGAGCCGGCTCAGATTCCTAGAGCCGGCTCTATACAGTCGGTTCACCATTTCTGCAGCCGGCTTTACGGGATTCCTGCACATTCTGTTTTCTTCCATAGCCGGCTGCAAAGCCTAAAGCCGGCTTTAGGATTGTAACTTTAAACATATTAAATAATCTTCAAATAACTTGATCGTTGTGCATTAAATGCACCATCACAGCCGGCTACAAAGTGGGAGCCGGCTCTGCTTCCATTTTCCTCGCGCGCCAAAACAGCAGTTGAATTTTTGGCCTGTAGAGCCGACTCAACAAAATCTACAGCCGGCTCTCTGCATTTTTACTTCCCAGAGCCGGCTGCAATTTTCTTAAGCTAGCTCTCTGCATATCTTTACCCTTTGAGCCCTTTTTAATGCAATCTCATTTTGCTTACTTTGCAGTATATTGGCAATTTAACTACACACTTAAATAAATCAATGAGTCACTCAAATGTGTTTGTAATCATCAAAATCATAGGTACAACAATCTCCCCCTTTTTGATAATGACAAAACACTTTGATCATGAAAGCAGATATACTTTAATATTAACCTCAAATTTCAGCACAAAGAAAATGACGTTAAGACATTAAGACATTAAGACATTCCAGAAAATTATGAGAATTCAGCATACTTTCTTCCCCTTTTTGTCATTTATCAAAAAGTATATAAACATAAGCAATAAACTCCCCCTTAATTCATGCTATCAACCTTTAAAGCATCAAGAATATGTAATGAATATAATCATCAATCATCATCAATATAGCACCATAGACAACCAAAGTCATG